ATATATATATATATATATATATATATATATTTGGTTGTATTGATGTGGGTTTCACGCTCTTGCGATCGTCAGAAACTCACATCACTCCAACCAAATTTGTTAGCTCTATCTCTGATATTGAGCACTTTCTAATAAGTACCGCGTATATAATATATATATATATATATATATATATATATATATATATATATATATATATATATACACTTTCACACACACACACACATATGATGCCAGGTTGGTCGCGTTTCGATTCCGGTTTGAAGGAATCAGTTGTCCAGCCTCACTGAGGAGCTGTAATACAGCAAAACAGTCTGTCTGTGGCTCTCTCTCTCTCTCTCTCTGTCTCTCTCTCTCTCTCTCTCTCTCTCTATATATATATATATATATATATATACCTGTTTAGCAAGGCAAATTATTGCTTGTATATGTGTGTGTGTGTGTGTGTGTGCGTACGTGCGTGAGTGTGTAATGCTTTTTGAACACAATATCCGTGTTTAAATATGACCATGATCGATTTCTTCGTCGAAAGATATGGCTTATCATCTGACATACTCGATCTCAGCCCGCTGTAGCTTTGGAAATTTCCTGAAAATACAACATTTGACCCAATATATGAAAGTGAAATTGGTTAAATGCTAACATCGTAGAAATTTCCAATCATATCTATCCTTTAATCCACAGGTGTACTCGGTGGATTGAGCAGGTGTCTTTAATTGCTTTTGGCTCACCGCCTCCATAACAAACGGAAATGATTAATAGCTGGCAATTATCTTGCCATATTATAAGCCGATGTAAAACCTCTTTTTTAATTCTCAAGCAATTGCCGTAAAACCTCACTGGCCTCTTAAAAACTTTGTATTATAAAGGAATAAAGTGTCGCTGCCGATACTGGAGTTTGAACATAGATCGCCAGAGAGCAAACATAGGGAATCCCATTTAAAGTAAATCTAGTAATCGTAAAAGAAATGTATATACGGAAATGAGCGTGGCGTCTAATTGATCTCTCTTTCTATTCTATCCTCTATTGCTATAAGGATCACTTTTTCTATTCTAGCTTCTGTTACTATATGGATCGCTATGCTCTATACTATTCACTATAGTATTTCTCTATACTGATCATTATATGAATTAGTATTCGGATCACTATTCGGTGGTTACTTTCGAGCGAATATTATTGAGCAAGTACTATTAGTGCGAGTGATATTCGAAGGCGTCTGACACCAGTATTGTTCAACGGCGTTACTATAGTTGTATCTGCAATTATAAAATCTACAACGAGCATTACAAAAGTGACAACGAGTATTCGTTGATATTACAAAAGTGGCAACGTGTGTTCGTTGATATAACAAAACTTTATCCGTCAGCATTGGATATATATTTATTTCTGTTTAAATTTTGCTCTGCTCTCAAAAGTCGAGTTCCTTTTTATGCCGATGATTATTTTCCTGTTCAATTACATGACACTAACAAGGGAACTGTTCACTTTTTTATAGTGTTGAGTAGACTATTGCAATTCAAATTTTCATGTCTTGTTGTGCTGACTTCAAAGATAAACTTTTGTATTAAAAACAATCCTCAACTTGATTTACATGGTCATCTCTAAATGTTATAAGATCTTATTTTTTTTGTTTCATTTCTGTCGAGTCTAACTTGTTCTGCAGTTAATTTTCATCGTAGAAGGAATAGTTGTGGTTGTTCAAGATTATTGAATAGAAAAACTAGATCGTCTGCCAAACAGTTCTATGTCATGATGTTTACGAGTAAGCCAAACTTTCTTGTTTCTTTTACGTTAAACCGAATTTTCTTCCTGCCATTAGTCGTCTGTTTCTTTGCATAGAAGCAATGATTAACAGAAATCGAGAAACCTGCTAAGATTTTAAATATCCGTATAACCATTTATGATAGTACTGCGTTATAATATGGTTTCATAACATATATCCGAGATTATGTATGTATATATGTAAGCATGAAAGAATACATACAATATCGGCATGGCTTAATCGTTAGAACTTTCGCTACCTGGTCATGAAATACACGTTCGAATATCGCCAGAGTCAATTTTTCAAGGAAGTCAAAAGTACTTGGAAACCATACCACTGCTTAACCCATGCCATATGAGTATAGGAAACAGGTCTAAGGTTTTGCTAGCACGACATCACAAGTCATTGTGACCGATAGTTTGAGTATACTGGGCTTGTTCAAACTATTACACACGCTAGATTATGCGCCCTTTCAGAGAGACTGTAACTAATGTCCGCTCAGCGTAGTTGAAATTTGAAACACAGTGGTCTCTTTGGGTTGAGCGGGCGTCTTTGCTAGCCGCCCTGAGATATAGGGTGTTCTGGTAAACGAGTAGCCAGACAGTATGTATAGAACTACTGTAAATGAATTCAGAACTACTGTTAATAAATTCAAGCGTTGGCATATCCTTGCAAAAAAATGTACTATCATAGCAATATTAAACACCACTTCCGCAGTGCCCACATTTGAGGATTGGTCAAGAAATAGCATTGCTCCAGACTGAGCCGCACCTATCATCATCTATGTATAGTGCAATTTTGAATGTCTATTAGAGTAATCGACTTTTTTATTGCTTCTGCGCAGACGCCATTTTCAACATTTTATTGACCCCACTGTTTCTCGGCTAGTAAATCCTCTTTGAATGTAAAACGGGAACATACACTTCAGCGTTTAGCCAATCACATTGTCTGTAATCGCGTCAGATAATTCGTATGTCCACAGACAAAAAGAGGTCAGTGATAATAAGGATAATTTTGTTCTGTGATCGACTGCTGTGGCAAAAGCAATGGATCACTGATCAGGACAAATTACTAGACTTTAATTTGGCACAGCTTTTCTTTTCTGTCCCTTTATATATATATATATATATATATATATATATATATATATATATATATATATATATATATTTTCATTGAATACGACAGACAAGGTTCTTCTTTTAGTTTTTTATACAATTTCTCCTGGGATCTAATTTTTTTCTTTTCTTTTCGGATGATATATTATATAAAAACTGTCTGAATGTTCTTTTTATCCAAGCGCTTTCGGTCATTTTCAAGGATTGAATATTTTAACTGTTAAATAAGAAATAGTTTGTTGTATGTATGTTTTATAAAATGTTTTCATTTTTCAAAACACATGTCAAGATATTTTGTCCATGATCAAAGTTATTTTTTTTTTTAAATTAATAATGCTTCCATTATTTTTAGCGTTTTTTTTTTTGCGTGTAGATGATGCTATTATACTAGTGTTTTCAAGAAGTATATTACGAATAGTGTCCGATAGGTATCCATTTAAATGATATCTAATTGAGCTATGGTCAGAAAGGTGTAGAGTGCGTCTGCGTTTCAAACATGTTGTAGTGTGGCCTATATAATTATTTACGAATTTTGATTGATCAGGAATACAATTTCTTAATGGGCATTTAATTCGTAAATAATATTTGCCCTATTTAATTTTGTTCTACGAGGTGAATTACTATTTTTGACTATAAGGTTAGAGGTTTTAAATGTGTGTGTGTGTGTGTGTGTGTGTGTGTGAACGTACCCGTTCTATATATGTAGAAACGTGAGCAATTAGCGTCCGTAGGGATATTGAAATATACAATGTCGGTGTCACTCCTTAAGCAAACATCACATAACCGTTAGATTATTGCTTGCAGTTTGAAACTGACAATCACATTACAGTGTTGATTTCGGTGCACACACTCTATCTTTATATGCCTGTCTATTTTTGTATATGTGTATTTGAATGCGTGTTGTTGTTGATGACGTATATACAAATGAAAATACATATAAAAAGTCGTATACTGCTATCCTAAACTATATATATATTAGGTTGGCCAGAAAGTGCTGACTCACTTATGAATCATAAAGAAAATAAAAAATCTCGATCTCTCTCTGGTGAAATTTCCAAAAAGTACTGCATTTCGAGCCTGTTCTATACGGTCGCGCCATCAACCCTAAACTGCATTGCCAGCACCGAGACCGCGCGTACGATAAACTACAGAAGAAGTATACTGCTTTGGTAAATCGACGCCAGGTTGATTAACACTTTCACTGCTACTCATTTGTCCAGTGCTGCCCCCATCCGGCCAGCCATTTTTAAAGAAAATGCCAAATTTCAACCTACATATTTTATTACACATAAAACTGGCACCAGTGTGTTTTACAGCTTTCCATTTTCATGGATATACCTGGGAATGACTTACCAGATTAGTAATGGGTATACACATGATATCTTTTGAAGCATTGTCCTTTGTGATTTGACGATAGATGGCTCAACGGGACACTCATACCAGCGGTATGCAAAAAAAAAACGTAGGTTTCCGTACTTAGCCAGCTGGAGCAAGATAAGAAAAACGAATATCTCCGTAGTTAGCAGTGTTAAGATGTTTAAACATGAACAGTGTTGAGATTATTCTTCGACTTTCAGCATTCAGTCCCGAGTGACTATGGCCTCTTCCGCTCCATGACACACTTCCTCCGCGACCAGATTCAACAATTTTGATGAAGTGCAGGAAGCTTATTATAGTTTTTTTTTTTTTTTTTTTTTGGTATCTTGGCAGATTCGGATACTGGCAGATCGCTTGCAGAAGATTGTCGAGAATGATGGACGTTATTTTGAAGAAGGGGTTTTGGGTTTGCTCTATACAATTTGGCATGTTTTCTTTCTGATTCCCAAGTGAGTCAGGACATTCTACTGCTTATATAGCCTTTGCAATTTATTTAAAGCCAAACGTTACTTTTAGATTCTAAGAATTTTTTTTTTTTGAGATAATAATGGTTTAATGATAAAATTATTCCTCATTAAAAAATATCTGGATTGGGAAGAAGAGATGGATTGGTACCTTTCCCGGGGGTGGGTGGGAAGTATTTGCACGTAAGTAAATATAACGAAGCCAAAGTGAATTGGAACTAGGCTCTAGCATTATCAAGTCCGAGCCGTTATCAAATACACCAACACCACATCCAAGTTTACAGCACCTAGTATGCACAAGCGGTCACCCTTCTAAGTACTGATCAGGCTTGACTTTGTTTAACTTCGATGATCGTATGGGAGCCAATTTTTCAACATGATGAAGACATAAGGTAAAATGTATTTGATAAGCTTTTCACCCTAAGCAAGGCAGTAGTGCCACTAGCACGCAAGGGGTTACAGATAGTCGAAGCAAGAGTAAAGATCCGTGATAGAGGAAAGGGTGAGGAGAATGACGGGGAATAGATCAAGGCATTTGGAAATGTCGATTGACATTGCATTTGAATACTTGGATATTATAGCTATCAGGGAGGCCAGTAAGAGGTATGGAGTTCTATAGACAGGAAGTGTGAGATATTTTTTTTGTAATATATTAAATTGTGCAGTATACGTATTATATAATAAATATGCAATTATACAAAGTATCAATTAGCAATGCTAATATGATTAATGGCGAAATCAATTCGCTAACAAGACCTACTGAGACATTAACTTACTATCAATTCCTTGAATAACACGAACCTTATATTTGAATTGTTGATAGATGGAATTAATGAGCCGGGGCCGAGTACTTTCGGCAATTTCAAATTGTCATCTTCAGGGCATAATACTTCCATTTACAGGTAAACACCAAGACGAAATAAGTCCATGTCACTTTAACTGGAAAAGATATAAAGCAACAAAAATTCGTGGATTTATCACATTTCTATTTTGAAACAAAATTCTCACTTGAGTCATTTAAACCAAAACTATATCGTTGTGGCATCTCACGTTCCAAAATACTATAACTGTCATAGCATATTTTTAAAAACACCTTCGGTCTAAATTACATTAATTTCGCCTTGGTGTTTATTAAGTGTTTTAATTCTTAGATTCTAGTTATTATAGGGGAGAGATCATCAAAACAATTATTATGAAAGTATTTATGTAAAATACACAGGGAAGCTAGAAAAGGCCATCGTTTTTTTGTTTTTTGGGGGCTTTTTTTTCACGCTAATATTTTAGTTTCTGCCTCTTGTAAATCAGCCAAAGTTATCGTATTCTGACACTTGATGTTATCCAACTAATGCTTTCGAGGCCATATTATAGCATAGCGAAAGATTTTTCAAGGAGGCTTTATCGAAATTTATCGAACAACTGCAAAATGGAATGCGAACACTTGAATTTTAACCCCGACTTGATCAACAAACAATTATATATATATATATATATATATATATATATATATATATATATATATATATGAGGAAATATAGTTTTAATGTGTTCCTATTTTTTATTGGATAAAGCGCTCAATATCAGAGATTGCGCGTATGTAATATAAATTTTATAGAGTCACATGTAAATATAAATTTAATTTTAGAAATTCAGGGCGGCCTGATGACTGCGCCTAGCATGTGTTGACTTCACTGTTCACTTTTATATATATATATATATATATATATATATATATGTGTGTGTGTGTGTGTGTGTGTGTGTGTGTGTGTGTGTTATTATATATATATATATATATATATATATATGTGTGTGTGTGTGGGTGGGTGGGTGTATGTGTGTGTGTGTGTTGCAGTTTTTTGTGTATATGTGTACTAGTGAGCCCGTCAAAATGAGCTGACTCATTTTATAGTTCATCAATAGAAGGGTTAACCAATCAGAAAGCTCAAAATAATCAATGCGACGTGTATAAAGTCAGCCATTTTGTTTTTTTCTCCAAGATTATCCTCACTGCCAACCTGATATCGAAGCCTGAAAGAATTACTAAACAGCCTTTCTCTGAATCTTCACTACCAAACTCTGATATTGAACACATTACGGACTTTTACTGGATTCCATATTCAGAGACTACGGCAAACATGGTCAACAGTGTGTGTGTGTGTGTGTGTGTGTGTGAGTGTGTTATAACATATATATATATATATATATATATATATATATATATATATATATATATATATATATATCTTCTTTCCAGGAACAAAAGTAATAAGTTGTCTCGTGGGCTATTAAACTGCCAACACTATGAAGAGACGTAACGGTATTGAATAATCAAAATTGTCCAACATCATGACAGCGAATGAGGATGTTTGACGAAGCCAATATAGAAAATTCAGCAGTAACTCGAATATTTTTTCAAATTTCCCGAGAAATTGTTGGCGCCATGAAATCATTAAGAGTTGAAAGCTACACCAAGATATACATGGTTACTGTCGAGTCAGGAATATGTGCAGAGCAAGAGAGGTCTTCCAGGCAGTTACTCATGGCGATACAAAGACGAGTAACTAATTTCTTGTATATTGTCAGAGCAGTTATGATTGACACTGAGATAAGTGTGAGTTTATTCACTAACTACAGACGAAAGGACACAATCCCAGCTTTTTATTCGAGGAATTGATGTGTTAAGAATTAGATGTTATGCATTCTTTGACTGACACTTAAAGAAGACAGCGGAAATGGACGGAATATTTTTTTTAACGAAATAAGAAAATGTATTAATACAGAATTGAAAAATGATTTTACAAATCGAGTGTCCGTTTGCAAATTTATGTCCGTCTGAGTTACTGTTAGATTTGGGAAAATATTGGAGCAACAAGAATTGTTTAAGGATGGGGAATATTCACCCATCGGCGCATGGTAACCTATATCAGGAAAAGTTATAAAATTCAATTATGTCTGTTGTAATTTGATTATCAATCTAGAGAGGTTAAACATAGAAAAATCAAATCTTTTTTCTTGAAGAGGGAAGTGATGAATACTGTGGCTTTTTATAGCAGACAGAAGTGAGATATTCACTCCGAGGCACGCTGCAACAAACCTTTGTACTACTGAAATAGAAAATATCTCCGTTTCTAGAAGATAAACCTAGATTCTGCTTGATAAAACACGACACAAAGAACTGCCTGAGCTGCGATGTAAGCTTGTTATATATGGGGAGGATATTAAGATAATTCGGAATTTATACTGGGTGTAAAGTTCGTGTATACGGATGGAAAATGAATTCAGTAAATATACAGGAATAAAAACGGGTGTCTTCTCAACGGACTTATCCAGCCTTTACCGTGAGGCAATTCTGAAAAGATTTAGAAATACTGCTAGGATTAATTGTTGTCGGTCACAATTTTAATAACATTAGACCTGGAGATGACGAAGTATTGGTAGCATACACAGAAAGGAAACTACAAAACCCCTTACAGAATGTATCAAAGGAAAACAAGAAGAAAATATTAAAAATCAATAAGGTATAACATATAGTTAGCGAAAAGTAGTGGTCAATATGTGAATTACAAATAGGTGATACTAAAATCAAATGCAAAAATCTAAGAAGCGTTTTAAGAGAGAACGGAAGACGCGACAATGTCATTAGAGGGTGGATTGCGATAGCAAACAATACCTTAAATATTAAGAAGCGTAATAACAAACCGACATATATTGTTTGAAACAAAAGTACTAAAGGTTTATGCAATATTGTTACTCTTATATGGCAGTAAATGCTGGACAATCTCGTCTCAGATCGAGAAAAGACCTTGAGCAATTGAAATATGATTCTACAGAAAGATGCTGAGGATACCACTTGTATGAGGATGAAGTTTTAGGGAAAATAGAAACGAAATAGACACTTATACTTAACATGAGAAAGAGAAGTGAAATTCCTTTGAAATATTAGGTCGGTGCAAAAATAATGACGTAATAATGTCGTTTTTTGACGTATTTTTTAACGTCAACAAACGACATTCTTACGTCATTATTTTTGCCCAAACCTAATATAATAAGGAGAGCTGATTTAGAACATCTGACATTCACAAGACATAATGAAGGCAAGACTTACAGATGAAAGCAACTCATAACCTACTTAAGGACCTTTTGTAAATAATTAGCAAGAAAGGGACTAGGATAAAGTGTGCATAGATAAAATTTAATAAGAGCCACAACGTACGGGAAATATGTGGTGAGTTCTGATCGTCTACCGATATAGACACGGCACATAGAAAGATAAGAAGCAGTCTAGGTTTAATATCTCTTCTTCATTTTGGATGTTAAATATCATCTGAATGATCAGAATATTTACATTCAAGGAGGGTTGGATAATTTAATTCCCCACCTAGTTACAGCAGTAAAAGTTTTCAAAATGAAGATCAAAAGTTTTAGAAAAGGTGAAACCTTTTTGAAGTGCATTATTTAAATTATTCGGACTATTACCCTCATCTTTGTCGCCATATTTATCACAACGTTTCTCCCGTTGTACACTCCGGCCTTGTTCAGGTTGTTGGAATGTCGAACTGAACATTTTAATTCGCTCACTGGGGTAGACTGTTCTAGTTCCACATGCCATGTTTTGATGGATGTCAATTATCAGTCATCTCCTGCTAATTTCCCTCTGAAAGTTCTCCACTGCCTTAACCGGGTATTGAACTTACACTCTTTGGGTCCTGTCACTGGATCTAACCAACACCTTTATCCACTGTGCCATGTGTCCTTGAGTTCAATACCCGATTAAGGCAGTGGAGAACTGGGAACTGTTTTATTTAATTACAATTTAAACGAAGTTTAGGTTAGAATTCATTTTATTTAACTACAATTTTAATTACAACTTTAAAATATTTTCATTGTTAGTTTTAATAGACTATATTTCTTTTAATAGAAGTAAATGTACTAGAATCACTTACAGTAAGTAAAATTATTTTTCCACATCAAGTATATGTATATTACGATTTTTAATGAAATGGAACTAATGTCTTTAATTTAATTACAAAATTAAATTCGGGGCTTTTAGCTTCCATTTTTGAAACATGGTTAGAACTATGTAGCGAAAAAACATATTTTAAATCAATTAATTTATAATATATATATATATATATATATATATATATATATATATATATATATATATATATATATATTTGTAGTGCGTAATCATTGAAATATTCCCCACTGCCCACATCATCTGAATTCAAATCCTTTACTTTTATCTAAGTTCTTACGATGCATGACTCTCGCTAGATTAGCGATATCTCTAACTGAAAAACTTGGCTTTTCGATTAAAGCAATAAATAAATAAAAAAATATAGGTATATTTTCCTCCATTCCTTCTTCG